GGGTTTAGCTTGACCTGTGATGGTAAATATTTATTTTAATTCTTGTTAATTATGATGTAAACCGTAACACAATTAAGCTATATTAAGTTATTGTTTGTTTGTTTGTCAGTAATTCTCAGTCATTATTTGAAACTGGTGAGACTGAATTGAGAGGTAAAAAGGGAGAGGGAAATAGAAGAGAAATGGTAAATGTAGAGAAAGAGAAGACAAGTATAAAGAGAAAGAAGGGTGAAAGATGAGTGATATAGTAAAAAGAAGAAATGGAGACACACAGACAGGCAAGCACAGAGAAAGAGAGAGAGAGACAGAAAGAGAGAAAGAGAACTTGAAAAGAATAAGGAGTAAAGGAGAGAGGGGGGGAAAGACGAAAAAAAAGGAAACGAGGGAAGGTAAAATGAGGAAGCGAGGGAAAGAAAAAAGGCGAAGGGAAGGAGTGAAGGAAAGGAGGGAAGAAGGGAGGCGAAAAGAGGGAGGAAGGGCAGGCAATAGGAAAGAACGAGGGAAGAGAGGGAAGAGAACAGGCGAAAGGAGTGAAGGAGGGAAGAGAAGAGACCGAGAAGAAGACGGAGGGAGTAAAGGGGGTAAGGGGGGAGGGAGTCTACCGCCATATCACCGCAACACTTCCTGTCGCGGGAACTTAATCACTCACACCTTAGCTGTGCATGTGTATAGCTTAACCCCCCCCCCTCTCTCTCTCTCTTCTCTCTCTCTCTCTCTCTCTCTCTCTCTCTCTCTCTCTCTCTCTCTCTCTCTCTCTCTCTCTCTCTCTCTCTCTCTCTCTCTCTCTCTTTCTCTCTTTCTCTTTCTCTTTCTCTATCTTTCTCTCTCTCTCTTGTTGTGTGTATATATATATGTGTGTGTGTGTGTGTGTGTGTGTGTGTGTGTGTGTGTGTGTGTGTGTGTGTGTGTGTGTGTGTGTGTGTGTGTGTGTGTGTGTGTATCCTTATATACATTGACATATACATATACGTACAAAAATACACGCATATGCCAATCATTGTTGCGGCGAGCAGCGGGGACGCCCACGGCAGCGCCGAGTGCCCGAAGGAGAGCGCCGTCCTCCGGGTCGCGGTCGTAACGACTGTCTGAGGTGGTCTTGAGGACGACCCGGGCGATGAGCGCTTGCCTCCGCCTTGCCTCGGGGCCAGTTGTCTGCGGCGATTTAAGAGGAGGATTTTCAGTGAGGATTTGAGATGAGATTCTGTGGCTCATAAAAGATGGCAGTCGTTTTGTTATTCTTTTCATCATCTTTGTTAATATTATTGTTGTCTCTATTGTTATTACGGTAGCTGTTATTGAAGCTATTAATGTGCTATTAATAGGTATGGTGTAGTAGTGGTCGTAATGATAATAATGGTAGTAATGTTAGTTGTAATGATAGTAGTAGCAGTAGTTTTAATAGTAGTAACAGCAGTAGTACTAATAGTAGCAGTAGTAGTAGTAATAGTGATAGCAGTAGTAGTAGTAGTAGTAGTAGTAGTAGTAGTAGTAGTAGTGAAGTAATAGTAGTAGTAGTTGTAGTAGCAGTAGTAGTAGCAGGAGCAGTAGTGTTAGTAGTAGTAATAGTAGTGGTAGTAGTAGTAGCAGCACCAGCAGCAGTATTAGTAGTAGTAATAGTTATAGTGGTAGCAATAGTAGTAGCAGCAAAAGTATTAGTAGTAGTAGTAGCAATAATAGTGGAAGTAGGAGTAGTAATATTATCAGTTGTAGCAGTATCCCGATTCTATTATCTTCTTATACTTCTCCTGACAAAAGTAGGGCCACGGCATTAGCACAACCGAGACATACGGCTAAACCCAAACTTCTCCATAGGCCTAAACCTCTAGCAACGGTTTTGCTAGTGTGACCCCAACCTACACCCCCTCCCCCTCTAGCCCCATCCCAGACCCCCTCCCCCTCTAGCTCTAACCCTCCCCCCCCAGCAATGACACCCCCTCCCCAACCCCTCAGGAACTTAGCTTAATTGTAGGTCTACCGTAATCACGCAGGTACAGAGGGCTGGGTACCCGACCCGACGACCCGTTTTCTGTACCCGAAGATGGTATACTGCCCTATATTGCTTCCTGGGATGTCTCCTCCTGATGGAGTCGCAGAGAGAGAGAGGAGGAGGAGGGAGAGGATGCAAGAAAGATTTTTGTTGGTAGTGCTGTGTAGTAAAGATATGAATGAGAATGAATTTGTTCACAATAAAGAGATATATCAGACCGGTTTCGATTATATCTTCATCAGAAATGCATATATTTCTGATGAAGATATACTTAAAACCGGTCAAAAATATCTCGTGTATTGTGAAGATATTCATTCTCATTTATACCTGTTCTACATTTGTCAACATGAATACGGTTCAGCATGTGTGTGTGTGTGTGTTTGTGTGCGTGCATTCATGAGTGCATGTATGTATGTATGTATGTATGTATGTAGGTATGTATTTCTATGCATGCGTCTGTATATATATGCTTAAGTGAATGTACAAGTGAATGTGTATATGCATATGAATCTG